TGTATATGAGAAAGAGAGAGAAAGAGAATATGGGCGGGGGGTCCATAATTTTCCCGTGTATTAGAGAGAGAAAGATACCCATGTGTTGGAGAGAAAGAGATGGTAATATATACGAAAGTGAAAAGAGAGGCGAGTGGGAGAAGGCTATGCTTTTGCTATAGGTTAGAAAGAGAGGGAAAGTTATTTTGAGGAAAAGCAAGAGAGAAGAATGCTACGCTTAAGATTGGGATCTGACATGGGGGCGGGGCCTAAAGCAATATGGCGTAAATTGGGTAACACTTTTAGTGAATTTACATGGGAATAACATGGGATGCAATAGAACTAAATCGTTTAAAAAATATTGCTTAATTTAATAAATGTATAAGTGAATTTTTTTAATACAAAATTACTATTTACATTCCTATTTACAAACATGAATAAAAATATAAAAGAAATCTTATTTTTATACAAATTATTTTCTCAAATCCAGCGATACATGTGCAAGAAAAGTATTGTATTTTCCTTTATATTTCATGAAATTATATGAAAATTTATAAATGTATGTATTTCATTTTTCATTGTAAAAGTCTGTTAACAAGAACTGAAAAAAAATTTATTTATCCGTTTTTACAGTGATAAATTAACTTTCAAAATGTTCACATGCACGGGTAATATGAAAGATTATATAACCTCCAAATTTTAAAATCTTAAATTTACCTGGCAAAATGTAATCACTTATTTTGAAATGCAGAGAACATACTCTCATAGAAGGCTTTATACTGTTTATTTTTAAAGCATTTTTCCAGGCCTTTAATTGATCGACTTTTTCAAAATTATCGAACGTATTTTCACATCAACTACTCGTTGTTTTGGTTTCGGAAATTTACGGAAAATTACGCTTAAATTTTTCGCTACAGTACTGCCACAGCCTCTCACAGAACACTTAATTCTGCAGGAAGATTTCTCACGCGGTAAAAATGTAGCTTCATTCATAATGATAAAATAATTAACAATGACAGCGGAACTACAATTGCAAGTGACACAAACAGTTATCCAAAACTAGTTACATTTTTCAACACCAGATGGCATGTGTACGAATGTCAGATCCCAATATCAAGTTTTTTTAAGTCCATAATTTTAGTAATACTAGGCATATATTATAGATATAAGAAATAGAAAATATCGAATATATTCATAATAAAAAACAAAAAATTCATACTTTTCTTTTATATTATTAAAGAATTAAAATTTTTTATAACATTATTATTTAAAGATAAAAAACAATTAAAAATTGAATATTTTTTTTAAATTAATTTAATGTATGGGAAAGGTTTGTAGAATAATCGTAAACTTCACATACATTATTTATGTTTATTTATTTATTTACATATTTTTACATAAAAAAAATTAGGCATAATATATATTTTTTCAATTTTTGGAATATGGATGAGAACGATGGTTTGTACGAGGCGTACGAAGAACTTTACTTTCTCTGTTTTTTTGCTCGTTTTGGTATATTTGGACGTTAAAATCCTCCATAAAGTCCTCGTCACAAACTTCATATTCCATATTTTGAATTATTGTATCAGTCTTTTACTCTTTTAATCCATTTTGTTCGTTCACCCAGCGATAAAGGTACCATTCTGTAAAAAGAACAAGAATTTTAATGTGAATTTCGTTAAAGACAATTACAGTCAACTATACATATAAATGTTATACATACTTAAATTGAGATAGTGGCATATATGAGTAATAGTAAATCACAGTTTGGTAATTTGCAGTAAATAAATAATAATTAATAATTGTTTAATAGATAATAAAATAAATAAAAATCGGACAAGTGCGAGTTACACTCGCACTGAAATCGAGGGTTCCGTACTCAAAGCGAACTTATTTGGTATAAAAACAAATGTTTAAAAAATATGTGTTGTATGACAACTAATATAAGTGATACAAAAAGGAACAATTTTGTAAAATTCAAGAAAATTGTTCCTCTTCGTATCACTTATATTAGTTGTCATACAACACATATTTTTTAAACATTTGTTTTTATACCAAATAAGTTCGCTTTGAGTACGGAACCCTCGATTTCAGTGCGAGTGTAACTCGCACTTGTCCGATTTTATTTTTTAAAAAATATTTTACTAAAAAAATATAAGAAACATAATTTTATTTCAACTCGCAATATTTTTATTGTATTTACATTTTAAAAATATTAAGAATATTAAATTTTATCTTTCTAAGTCAAAAAGAGATAAAACTTAAGATATTGATATAAGGCTAGTAGCTGCTTGTCAAGGAAAAATCGAAAGTTATCTAAAAAATAAAATTTGTTTATTAATTCCAGAAAAATCAACTCCAATCATCCTCGCTATATTTTTTTTGTAATCTACACGTAAAAATACGTAAAAATATATAAATTTGAATCACTGTAGAAAAACTTTTTTCGTTTTTTGCGGAAAAATACATTTTTTTCTGAAATTTATCATTTTTCTTCAAAAATTTGATAAAAATTGATCATCAACTCCAATCGCGCTTACATTTTTTCCCTGTATTTTTCACGCAAAAATTGAGTTTTACAGCAAGTATGAACAGTCTGGATTGAATATTGTGTGCGCTAGGGAGAATAAATCATTTTTTTCGAAATTTTTGATTTTTCCTTGACAACGCTATGTAAATTAATCCGAATCAAGTTCGCTATAATTTTCCTGTAATTTTCACGTAAAAATACGTAAGTGTGTCAAATTTGAGCTCTTTATGTCAAAAGATGTGGCCGCTAGGGGGGGGGGTACATACTCATTTTTAGGTATTTTTCGTAAAAATTCATGGTTTTTCCTTGACAACGCTATAATAATCAACTCCAATCATGCTCGCTATATTTTTTTTGTAATCTACACATAAAAATACGTTAAAATATATAAATTTAATTTCCTTTAAATAAAATTTTGTTCGTTTTTGGTGGAAAAATACATTTTTTTCCTAAAATTGTCATTTTTTCTTGAAAAACTTGATAAAAAGTTAATCATCAACTCTAATCGTGACCGCTTTTTTTCCCCTGTATTTTTCCCGTAAAAATACATTTGTATACTAAATATGATCTGTCTGGGTTGAATATTGTGTGCGCTAGGGAGAATAAATTATTTTTTTCGAAATTTTTGATTTTTCCTTGACAACGCTATGTAAATTGATCCGAATCAAGTTCGCTATAATTTTCCTGTAATTTTCACGTAAAAATACGTAAGTGTGTCAAATTTGAGCTCTTTATGTCAAAAGATGTGGCCGCTAGGGGGGGGGGTACATAGTCATTTTTAGGCATTTTTCGTAAAAATTCATGGTTTTTCCTTGACAACGCTATGTTAATCAATTCCAATCAAGTTCGCTATAATTTTCCTGTAATCTACACGCGAAAATACATATGTGTACTAATTTTCAGTCCTCCAGATAAATTTATGTGGCCGCTAGGGGGGGGGTACACGATTTCAAAAAAACCGATATTAATAGGGTTCCGAACCGAGTACGGAACCCTAATAAAAAAATAATATATAAATAATAACAGTACATTGCGGAGGTCTTTCACACACATATATCACACACTTACATGCTAGGGGAAGGAACCCCGATAAAAAATACAATCTAAAAAAAATGGAGAACAAAAAAATAGAAGAAAATGTTACCCAGCAGGGCAAATCGGAAGCCCTAGTGGTGGCGCTGTCCCAGGGTGCGAAAGCAGGCCCTGGAGCGTCGAGATCAAATGACTGCAGTGGCTCATCGGTGGCTGACTTGGCCGATGAGACATTAAATGCTTCAAGGCAGAAAAGAGAGGAAGAAAAGAGAGTGTAGAGCTCCCCGTCAGCATCGTTGAAAAAGAAAAAGAAATGGTGAACTTGGAGTTGCGGGCTGCATGCCCGGAGGTCGAAGGATGGCGAGCTATCCTTGGATTTCTGGAGAAGCAGTCCGAGGTTGTTGAGCACCTCGTCCAAGCACTGAAAACAGTGCGGGACGGGATGCTCAAGAACAATTCCAAGGAATTCAAAAATTGTGCCAAGGAGGCTTACCTCTATAGTGGGAGTCTTCGAGGCATAATAAAAGACGCAAAGGAGGAGGGAGCGAGCTTCCTACGAAGGATAGAGCAGGCTGACTCCCTCTCTCAAAAGAGAAATCTGAGTCACCAAAGGGTAAAGTCCCTGGCGACTCCGATCTCGGGAAAAGGAAAAAAACGAGATGCCTCTTAGACTCCCCCTGAGACAGGGGTATTGAAGAAAGGGAAAACAGTCGAGTTGGCCGTAAAGGAAAACCCGCCTGTTCTCGAAGTTCAAAAAAATAAAGATACATCTTCCCAGGTCGATTCTGAGACCTGTTAAGAAGTCAAAAAGAAGAAGAAGAAAGAAAAAAGGATCCCAGAAGAAGCCAGGGAGTCGTCAAGCATTAAGGGTGAAGTCCCATGACTCCGTTGTGCGTTGCGTTTCCGTGAGCTGTGCGTTCTTTTCAAAGCGTTCCATCTCTGCTGTGATTGACGTTCCATCCCTGCAGTGACTGACGTGCCATCCCTGCAGCTGTTGTGTTTTGAATTCCTGTGTGTACTATTTCGTGACTTTGGCAGCATTTTTAATAAATATTATATATCTTTTTTGTTTAAATGTCCGTTTGTGTAAACAAATAGTCAGTATACTTATTGTCAAATTTGTTTTGTTTAATCGAATTTGAAATAAACATGTCAGACGAAAATTGTCAGGTAAGAAAATTGTTGAGGTTATGTTTTTAAATGAAAATCAAAATATATTTATATTATTTAAAGAAAAGTCAAATAATAAAGTGTGTTTTTTATTTTTGTATAATAAAAGAAGTTTTCAATCTTTCATTTTTTTAACGATATTTTGTTAAATACGAAGTATATGATAATTATCTAATAATGATGATTTTCCATATAGCGTAATAAAAACCTATTTTAAAAACTTGATTTTAAAACATCTATAAAGTACTGTAAAAATTTGAAATTTGATACAAAAAAATAAATTTTACAGTTGACTAACGAATGTTGGAATTGCGGGTTTCAAATAGGAAATAGTAATTGCCAAATATTTCAACATTATTGTTTTGCAAATTTCGACGAATCGAAACATGCCTTGGTAGTAAGCAAAAATGGAGTTGTGAGCATGAGTAAGTATTTTGTATCTTTTTGTAATGATTAATTTTATCGTAATTAATGCTATTACTGATTTACATTTAATTTACTCAAATTCGAATAGGTTTTTCTAATAAATACTCTTGGTATTATTTCTTAATTACTTTATTTTATTTGAGATTTATTATTTTATTGCATCTCCTAATAATTAATTATTATTATAAAAATATTATGTTAATATAGAGGAATTATCAGCGAAAGATAAAAAAATGGCTGCAGAAATTCATTTAATTGAGGCTTACCGTGAAAGACCAGGTTTATATGATAAAAAGATTCAACAGACGATATCTCCTGAAGAAAGAGAAAAATTGTGGGAAGAAATTGCTGAAGCTACATGTTCTAGTAAGTTTATTTTTGCAGAAGATTTATACTAATATTCTTAAAAAATAATTAATTACTTTAATATCAAAAAGAATATAAAAATCGTATTTTCATAAAGAAAAAATCTACTATATTTTTTGTACCCCTTTAATTTTTAAAATTAAATTAATATTTGTCATAATATTTTTAATAGAAACAAATACTTTACGCCATTCTGAAAGTTCATATTTTGACATTATTCTGCAATCGGTTTTAAAAATCTCTGGTATTAAAAAGATAGTTGTAATCATAATGTATCAAAACTTATTTATATTTATGACATATTATGTATATGCAGATTGGTCTGTTGTTGATACAAAGCGGACGTGCAGAAATTTTCGCGATCAATTCAAAAAAGCTTACAACAAGCAGAATCCAAAACTGTTCCGTCACTTCAATCAGATGTTATTCTTACAAGAATGTGGCGAGGATGGGTATAATATTTGAATACATATAGTGCTATTTTTTTAATTATTTTTCTTTTCTAAAATTTGAAGTCAACGTTTTGTACTATTGACAATGTAAATAAAAACATTTTATTTTGACAATTAGAGACCTGACAGAAATAATTAATTAATTAATTAATAATTATTTCGAATATTTTATTTACATTTTTACAACATATAATCTAAAATTTAACTTTTAAGAAACACATTGGATAACTCGGCACTGCAAGAATTACCGTTAAATAACACAGACCTACAAATTTTAGACCCAGAAATCGGAATAGTCATTTCCCATGTAATTTTTCACGCTGAATCCAAAAATGACAGCGATACTGCTCTATCACGTCCGGATTTCGAGATATTCTAACCTAAAAGCGTAAAAAGGCCGTTTTTGGCAACATTCAATCATCTATAAAATCTCCAAAAAAATTTTTTAAGCGTTGGTTCAAATTTCTAAAGAAAGTACTACTATTTGCCTTTTAAAATTTTCTTGGCCCGTTCAAATCCGATTTTTTTTCACTCAGATACAACCATTTAAATTTTGCGTTACACGACCTGAAAACCCTAAAAAAAAGGAAAACTAAGTACTTAAATTGAAACTTGTTACTCGGGGGGATTTCGAGGTAGCTGATTACGATAACGATGCCAGATTTTCGAAAAAATGGCGGATCCAATACGGCTGCTATCAGAATCGTCATCAAAGATCTAAAATACTCCCAAGTTACGCGATTTTCAAGCGAATCAGTTGAATTTAAAAAAATATCCGCCATATTGAATCCGAAATTTTTAATTTCGAAAATCTGACATTAAAATTGCAATCAGCGACCCCAAAAACCCCCCTAGTAACGAGTTTTAGTTGAAGTTCTTTGCAATTTTATTTTTCCTTTTTTAAAAAGTTTTTAGGTCGTGTAACGTAAAACTCAAATGGCTGTATCTCAGTGAAAAGAAATCGGATCGGAACGGGCCAAGAAAATTTTGAAAAGTTAATAGTAGTACTTTCTTTAAAAATTTGGACCTATGTTAAAAAAAAATTTTTGAAGATTTTATAGATGGTTGAATGTTGCCAAAAACGGTCTTTTTCACGCTTTCAGGTTAGAATATCTCAAAATTCTGACGTGATAGACCAATTTCGCTGTCATTTTTGGATTCAGCGTGAAAAATTACATGAAAAATGACTAGTCCGGATTCTGGGTCTGACAAAATCGAAAATTTTGTAGGCCTGTGTAATGATGTCAATGAACCATTTCAAAGACCTTTACAAGATGTTAATATTGATAATGATGTTCAACACAATGATGATAATGATTCTGATGCAGAATTGTCTTTAAATTCTCCAACGTAAGTGTCAATATATAAATAAAATAATGAAACTTAAGTAAATATGTATTCAAAGTACAAACTACTTGTAGTAATGTTTACAAAATTTTATTATTACGGAATGAAATTAAGATTGTAGCATGAAAAATATTGCATATTGTGTAAGTCGTTATTAAAGCTATCATTTATAATTAACGGCAGAAGAACGCCGTCTACCTCAAAAGAAAATGCCGAACCACGTAGAAAAGAAAAACCGTCTCCTTTGATCTACAAAAAAAATAAAGGTAGGAAAATTTGTTAACAATTCCTTAATTTTACAAAATAATTATTTTAAAAAATTAATTTTTTTCAGCAATGAGCAAAAAAGAAGATTTGCAGTTAGTATTATTAGAAAAAATTAAATCGCACACAATTAAAAATCACTATCACACAGACATGCTTTTTTTGAGTTTTTCCGAAACATTTAAAAAATTAGACACTTTGCGCCAGCTTAGAGTTCATAGAATATTTATTGAAATATTGGAAAAAGAGTTTATTGATCAAGGAAACCGATGCCCCGAGAATACTGAATATGATTCTTAGAAATACGATTTGTTTACTACTAAGTATATTATTATCTTGTAAAGAAGTAAACATAAGTAATGTAATAATGTTATTTCGTTTTAACATTATCTTTAATTTGCAAGTTGATAAATGTATAAGAGTGAAAGCGTTATATATTTAAAACTATATCTTTTTTTTCTATTAGTATTTTGTCACATGTGATTGAAAACTGTTTCTTCCAGTTGTTTTTGCTAAACTGTGATAAGTTTTACGATCTTATAATTTTATTGTAACCATCCATGATTTTAAGAATTATGTTATATTCAGTGTGTTGTGAAAAGACCAAAAAATTTAATTAATTCATAAATGTGTATAATTTAAAATTAATCACATACTAAAAAAGAAGTTTAATATTTATGCGTTAATTTTAAAAGAAACTAACTTAAATAAAAGAATAAATTTTTATTCATTATAAGTACACAATAATTTGTGTCATTGTCTTCAGTCATTGGTAATAAAATATTTAAGTGAAAAATAACTTTTAGAAATTATTTTGTAATATTTTGTCATATTGCCATGACAATTCTCCTTCAGGCGATGCAAAATATTCGGCAAAATCGTTTCGCACTCTGTTAGCATCTAGATTATGCAAAGGCTGATGTGATTCTTCATTTTGTCTTGGAATATTCTCTAATGCTGAAACGAAATTTCTTTAGTTTAAAATGCGTGTCTACAACAAGTAATTTTAAACAGATATTATAGATAATAAGTGAATTAAGTATTATATACAGAAATTTATTTTTTAAATTGTTAAATCTACTTTAAAATTTTTTGAAATAATCTACCGTTTACAGGTTGCAACCGATCAGCCGTTGACAAATGAGTATACTGATAATTATTGTCTGGATTATTTAAAGATTCTATTATAATCCAGTTATGAAGACATGTAGTCGCTTGGATGATTCTTCTAACAAGCTCAGTGGAGACTATAATCTCTTTCCGCTATATTCTTCAACGGGCTGCAAGTATTCCAAAAGCACTTTCGACCATTCGCCTTGCTCGACTTAAACGGTAGTTGAATATTTTTTTTTTTTAAATTTAAAGTTTTGCTTCTAGGATAAGGTCGCATAAACCTATAATGGGCATCGCTTATTGCCATTAAATTCATGCTAAACCATCCCTTGTAGCTGTAATACTCTGAACCAGAATTCTGTGGAGCCTATAAGAAATGTCTTTATTTTTTTTAAATTAGAATCGGGAATTTTACTTTTGAAAAATCAATTTTCAAATTACATTGGTTAATTTTAAAGTTATTTGTAAATAATAAATAATTCTTTTCGAAAAAAAATTGTGGCCTTTTGGTCCGTAAATTTACAAATATAGACTTCTTGTTTAAGAAGAGTTTTTATTTATCAAAGGCCAGAAACTGTTGTAAATTTTAGTTATGCAAAGAAATTAAGTAGGTAAATGTTATAGGTAAATATATTGTAAAATTTTTATAAATATATTTGCAATTACCTGCAAAACAACTAATTTTCCATCAATTGCACCAATGCAATGAGGAAAATTCCATTTCTTTTTGTATACTTTGATTATATCATATACGCAAAATATGTTAACCTGAATCATAAGAATAAGAAATTAATTAAACTATACATTTTTAATGAAAATATATTTCTTTAAAAATTGTTTATAGAACTATATATTTCATAGAAGCATTTTAATTACGTTTCTAATTGATAAAAACAATTTTTAGTTTAAGGTTATATGTTAGTTACCTTATTTTTATAATATTTTACAAACAAGTATGTTTAATTTCACTTGTTTATATTTATGTATTTTATACCGTTTCTAGCACGTGTGTCAACATGTGTTTTGAGTTTAACCTAAAAACGGTATAGGTGCGTTAAATTATTTTGCCAGTGTCCCATGTATGCGTAAAAACGCAGAGGGTACAAAAACGCACTTTACAAACGAATAGAAACATTGCTCTCCCTTCAGATCTGCCTAAATATTCGTTTCGATTGGTAGAAGAAAAATTGTCCAATATAATGTGCGTTAAAACGCAACCATGGGACGCTGGAGAAATAATTAAACGTATGCGTTGCGTTTCGCGGAAAAAATTTGAATAAGTATATTAAGTATATATGTATATATATAAGTATATATATACATACATATATATATATATATATGAGGCAAAATTCCTGAAATGTCCGAACAAAAAATTAAAAGTTATCGAATTTAATCCATACTTTTCTAAAATGTTGTTATTGTTGGTGAAAGTCTAAAAATCAGTTATTATTGAATTCAATAAAATAGTTTTTGAATTACAACGTTTTTAATTTTTGACTTTTGAAAAAAAAAATTTTTTTCAATGTACAATATTTATAAGTAGAATGCATAAAAGTTAACATATATATAATGATTTTTAAAGCTTTTTTGACGAGCTACACGCTGTTAATAAATTTTTTTTTTAAATAACATTTGACCTTGAAATTCAAGGTCAAAATGTTAATTTACGTTTATCTCAAAATCGGATTTTTTAAAATTATTTTTAACTATCTCAATGGAAAGCTTGACTAATTTCCTACAAAACATGTAATTTTCAGAAGAGGATCTTTTAAAGTTTTTGAGATATTAATTAATTAATTAATTAATGTTTATAACAAATCAAATATTTTACAAACGAATAAAGTTACCGTAATGCTGAACTTACCAATTGAAAGTTAAGGTAATTCCGCATCCAACGAGCCCTATATGAAGTATTTTGGATAAGTAAATTGTTAATAAACAATTGCAATTTTATTTGTTTGTAAAATATTTTATTTTTTACTAACAACAAGCATCCAAAAGCCCTATATGAAGTATTTTTGTTCAATTTTAGTTAAATAACAATAAAAAATGAAATATCTTACAAACAAATAAAGTTATCGTAATGCTGAACTTACATTTGTTAAGTAAATAATTAATTTTTTAATATGTCAAGTAAATTTTTGTGATAAAATTTAATTTAAAAAAATAAAATAATATAATTCGTTCATTTGAACGTTCAAAACTTTAGGGACATATAATTTTAATTTTAATTAATCAAATTTGTTTAATTAATCGAAGTTAATGAAGTTCTAATTTTTGTTTTATTTTCTAAATAACCTAAACTTTTAGCAAAGATATACATGTGTGTACATATATTCGGATAAAATATTGTATTTATAATTAAAATATAATACAAAAAGTGTCGAACAGATACTGGCAATAACAATAACATGATTTTTTTAAGATTAATTAATCGTCATATGAAAATCCTGTTTGATCTTGTAGTTCCTCCTTCAAAATTTTTTAAAATAATTTTCCAACTCGAACCTGCTTCTTTGTTTCCAATTTTTTAAATATTGGAACCAAAGAATAGAGTGGACATTCAGTAATCTTCTCCTCTGAGGTAACTGATGTGAGAAGATTTTGATAGTAATCAGTAGAGTGCATGTAATAATATGGCTATACATTATGCAATACAACTCAAATTATTTTCACAACTTTCTTTTATATAAATATAATTAGAAAAATTATATTCAATATGATAATTTACTTACAACTATTTTCTTTTACTTTCTGTTTTTTTGTTTCGAACTTATAACCATCTTCCTTCTCATTATCATTATCAGAATCAGATGAAAAAGCACTCAATGTTCTATAACAGTTTCATAAGTTCAAACGTTTTGTTACAATTACATTATTATGCAAGTGATTAATAAGATAAAAATGTTTAGATATAATAAATGATCCATTACTTAACATAAGTAAATTTTTAAATCTTCTATAATTAAATTAAAATTTATTAATTTTATTTCATTTTAAAAACTCCTTTTTGTAAAATATGGAAATTTTAATTAAGCTTTAAAATAGTAATTTTTTAGGCAATTTACTATTAAAAAATATCTTATGGAGCGCTACAGAATTTGTTATTGCTTATCGTTAACTATTTAAATCCAGAAGAACGAAGTGTAGATAAAACAATTTGTGACAAAATATAATTTCGAAAACACTTTCACAGCAATTTGAATAGCAGTATAATAATTTAAATCTTAATTAAAATTATAATTAAATCATTATTTAAATTTTTGACTATTAACCTTACACATTTGGATAATCTAATATTTTTAAATAAATACTTGCCTCATTGGTTTGGACTCATCAAGAAACCTCATCATTTCAAATAATTGAAATTCATCATTATTTTTATTCCTTTTCTTTTTTGACGCAGCTGAACCACTAGGAACGTATTTATTTCTTTCTAATTTTTCTGCCATGTATAATTCTTTAAGTTGTTTTCATCTATTTTTCATAATAACTACAGTAGATGACACACCTAAAGTATTATGAATTTCATTCCATAAATCATTTAACTTTAACGGAGATCGTTCTTTTACGGGCAAGAGATAATTATACAAAGCAGGCCTTTGTGATACTGCTGTAATTAGAGATTCATCCCATTCTTCGTTCCATTTCAAGTTCTTTCCTTTAACTTCTTCAATACCACTAACCTCTGAACTAACTATAGAATATAAACATGACTAAATGTAAATTATCTGTTGTAAAATAATTATTCTGTATTTTTAAAATAATTCTTGTTCATAACCAGAAAATAGTACATGTACAAAATAATAATTAAAATCTGTAAAAAACTATTTAAATTCAGATTTTGAACACCTGTGTCTCATTGGTTAAACACTCCTCTATTAAAGTAATAAAAAAAGAAACAATTAAATAGCATCACTTGTTTAATTAAGTTTTTTTTGTTGATATTTCACCAAAATTGCGTGGATGATGCAATTTAACAAAGTTTAGTGTTACATTCATTTATGCTGCATGGGAAATATGTGAAATTAATTTATTCATTATTATTAAAATTTGTTGTACAAACTACCAATTATCTTAATTTTTTTCAAATATAACTCGATTTTGTATATAAATCGAATTTAATATATTTTAATTTTCTCATGAAAAACAGAAAATTTCCTATTTTTAAGAAATAAGTGTTAATTAAATCGTTAATTGTCTACTTAAAATGAAAAAATTAGAAAGTCAAAAAAAATAATTATCTTGAAAAGAAAGCGAATATAATATAGCATAACATCATAATAAGAAACTTACTCATAGTAACAATATGATTATCATCAATTTTTATGTAATGTTTTATTTCATCGTAATTGTTAAAACATGAATGATTCAAAATAGTACTCATATTCCTTATCAAATATCCGCAATATCCACATTTGTGCTTTGCCTATGAATTGAATAAAAATGTAATTAAATACAAAACTGATTATGTATAAATATTTACATTTTATTATGAAATATTATAATTCATTAAATTAAAAAAATTTGCGTTGTATTAAGAAATTAATAAATTGGCAATTCCTTGTTAGAAACTCAAAATAAACTTTTATTATTAAAATTATAAAATTTTTGATTAAAATTAAATAAAAATTGAATTTGTTTAAAAATATGTGGGCATAATAAAATGCATGATTAAAATGTTTACATGATAAAGGTCCAATTTTAAAAAATATCATTAAAAAAAATGAAAGATTGAAAACTTCTTTTATTATACAAAAATAAAAAACACACTTTATTATTTGACTTTTCTTTAAATAATATAAATATATTTTGATTTTCATTTAAAAACATAACCTCAACAATTTTCTTACTTGACAATTTTCGTCTGACATGTTTATTTCAAATTCGATTAAACAAAACAAATTTGACAATAAGTATACTGACTATTTGTTTACACAAACGGACATTTAAACAAAAAAGATATATAATATTTATTAAAAATGCTGCCAAAGCCACGAAATAGTGCACACAGGAATTCAAAACACAACAACTGCAGGGATGGCACGTCAGTCACTGCAGGGATGGAACGTCAATCACAGCAGAGATGGAACGCTTTGAAAAGAACGCACAGCTCACGGAAACGCAACGCACAACGGAGTCATGGGACTTCACCCTAAAGCGGGACGACCCCCAGGTAAGAGGTCTAGAGGGACGGAGGCCATCAGGGTATCCGCGAAGGACGGCCAGTCCTGGAGACGGATAAGGGGTTTGTTTGGGTAGAGGTGGCAGGTGTACGTATATACCTACTTCTCCCCAAGCGATCCCTTTAAGAAATTCGATGCCGAGGTTCAAGCTCTTGAAGAAAGCGTTAGAGCTTTCGGCGGTGATGTCCTCATTGCGGGAGACTTCAATAGTAAGTCGCCGGAATGGGGAGAGAGCCGCCTAGACAGGAGAGGAACCTTGGTAGCGAATATGGTCGCAGCGAACGACCTAGTGGTGATGAACCGGGGTCAGCAGTTCACATTCAGGCGCGGGTTATCAGGATCGATTATCGATTTGACAATCGCGTCGCCCCGCGTGGTTCGTAGAATAAGAGAGTGGTGCGTTCTGGACGAGACGACCATGAGCGACCACCAGTACATTGAGTTAATAGTCTCTGAGAAAAATCTGGGAGGGAACAATAGACTGCAAGGTGGCAGCAAGAAGCCCTCCTGGAATCTCAAAAGACTAAATAGAGAGAGATTGTCGGAGTCTCTAGCCGAGTCCCGGTTTATTCAGGAACTCGGTTGGACGACGAAGCCATGTACTCTGGAAGAAAAAGTGCGTGAGGCGAGGCTAGTTATTATCGCAGCATGCAGGAACTCAATGCCTTGCCGGCAGAAAGTAAAAGCTAAGAAAGCTCTGTACTGGTGGAATGACGAGCTAGCCCGTCTAAGAAGAGAATGCCATGCAGCGAGGAGGAAGTATACCCACTCTAAGGGAGACCTCCTACTGCAAGAAGAGTGGCATAAAGCCAGGCAGATCTTCAAGCGGGCTATAAGAAGTAGCCAAAGAAAGTGTTGGAAGGACCTGATCGGAGAAGCGGAAAATGACCCATGGGGGTTGGCTTTTAGAGTAGATTCGCGGCAAAAAACCCCCGGTGTGGACAATCCGATTTGGGTCCGAAAAATCATACGTGCTTTGTTCCCCCATGTGGAATGTGGCCCCCGAGAGAACTATACTAACTGTGTAGTACAGAGGGAAGAACTCTTCACACTTGAAGAGCTTAAAAAGGTGTCAAAGACGTTGAAAAATGGCAAAGCGCCAGGCAATGATGGAATACCCAACGAGATTCTTAAAGAAGTTATCGCTGTGTATCCGGAGCTACTTCTCGACGTCTTTAATACATGTCTGGAGTGTGGAAGGTTTTTCAGTGACTGGAAAACACAGAAGTTGTTCCTCTTTAGGAAGGGGGATAAACCTCTAGATAAAGTCTCATGGTTTACACCAATTTGTTTATTGGATACGATGGGTAAACTTCTACAGGGAATGATTCTGGAGAGACTACAGAGAATCCTGGTAGGCGAAAGTAGCTTATTCGAAAACCAGTTTGGCTTTAGAAAAGGCCTGTCAACGGTAGACGCGATTTTAGCGGTTGTTGAAAAGGCAAATAAAGTCAAATCAGCGAAGAAGAAGGGATTTTGCGCACTCGTAGCCATAGACATACGAAACGCGTTCAATTCCGCGAGATGGGATATTAGTATCGAGGCAATCAAACGTAAAGGGGTGCCAACCTATCTGTTGCGAATGATAGATGACTATCTTAGCGATAGATGGGTTGTGTACGAGAGCGATGCATGTCATATGAAAGAAGAGATGACATGCGGAGCTCCCCAAGGATCGAAAGTAGGTCTAACCATATGGAACGTCATGTATGACGGTTTCCTGAGGTTGGACTTACTGAAAGATACGTTTCTAACCGGGTTCGCAGATGACGTGCTTTTAGTGTGCTGTGCGAACGAGATAAATCTTTTACAGATAAAACTCGATGATAGTCTGCGACGAATAGGGTTTTGGTTGGACCAACATGCCCTGTAAATGGCTGTCGAGAAAACCGAGGCTCTGCTCGTCACAGACCGGAGAGACTTTCGATTCCCGCGGTTGGAAATTGGAGGATCTGTAGTTTCATAGGGGACAAAACTGAAGTACCTGGGAGTGACGTTGGACAAACGTTTGAGTTTCGGCCAACATATTAACATCTCGTCACTCCAAGCCACCGAATGCATGGGAAACCTTTCGAGGATGATGCCCAATATCGGTGGTCCCAGGGAAAAGAAACGTAGACTAGTGGCGACTGTGATTCAATCAAAGCAGCTTTATGCTGCCCCTGTTTGGGCTTCGGCCCTAAAGCGATAATACGCAGAGAGTCCAGAAGTAGACTCGTTCAAAAATGGCAGGAGAGATGGGATGGTGAGTCTAAAGGTAGGTGGACCTACCGCCTGATTCCCCTCCTCGCCACATGGTTAGATAGGAAACACGGTGAAGTTGGCTACTACCTTACACAAGCGTTTTCAGGTCATGGTTGTTTCGGACAGTATTTTTATCGATTGAAAATAGAAGCAGAAGCGAGATGTGTGTATTGCAACGGTTCGGGTGTCGACAAAGCAATACACACTGACGACGCAGAGCACACGCTCTTTTTCTGCGGGCACTGGCGTGAACTCAGGCAGGCCAAGTTCTCGGCTGTGGGCACTGAAGTCACATCCGAGAACATGGTTTCTATTATGTTGCAGAGCGCGGACTCTTGGAGGAGCGTCAAGTCCTTCATTACAACTGTAATGAGGACGAAGGAGGACGACAGGAGGAGGTAAACACGGAGAAATCCTGCTGCTCGGCTGGGTGCACGCGCGGGACGGGGGAGACCTTAACTGGCTCTCCTTCTTCTGGCGCTGGCACTTAGTTAAGGACTTAGGAGCGAGAGCAACGGTAAGGAGACTTCCACTAGCGATGTATAAAGCTTAATAGCAGTTCCGCCAGTGGAGTTAAAGTCTAAAAAAGGGTGTGGTTTTTAGTGGGTCGACCAGAACAAGAGCGGTCATCCCCACATAACCTGAGAGTACGGGCTCCAGGTATCTGACTTGGAAGTAGGCCTCCAGGGTTATGCAGATTTTCCACTTTCCTCGTAAAAAAAAAATTAAATAAATAATATAATTTATAATAATAAATATTTATGTTTATGGGTCTAAAGTAATCTTTGTTTTTTATAACCGGAGGGTAGAGTATCATAATTTTCTTCCTTACGGCGTTTCATATTTACTACTCGACAGGTTTTCTTTTCATCTTTTGTAACGACCAAGTGTTCTTTAGTAGTTCGAATTACTCTAGATGTTATTTCGATAGGGTTTCCTTCATTGGTTACGAGATCACGAATCGAATGAAAATTAATTAAAAGAGAATTTTTAAAATTTAATGAAATTCCTTTAACCTTGCAAACCGTGGACTCGGTACCATCAGATTTTCTAACCCTGTAGGCGTAAAATTTAGGTCCGCTAGAAATAAAAGCATTAATATAACTACCTGCTCCGTAATCTTTTTCAACTTGATCCGTTAAATCTCCTAACAAAGAGCCCACAGGGGGTATATATTCTGTAGGATTACCACTGTTTACATAAATGCAAGAATCTGTATCGTAATATAACACCCGTCTATCCAAGTTATACAGGTAATTATATAACTTTAGACGAGCTTGTGCAGTTGTGTATGCAGCAATAACAGCACTTGTGTTTGGAGCAGGTGTTATTGCTTCGGACCTTTTACCCAACAGACGTAGACAATATCATTGTTTACAGGTACAATGTCATAAATCTCAACCTCAGGGTTATGAAGTAAACGTAATAATTCATACGTGTTTCTACAATTGTAGTTTGTGGTAAATTATCACGTTGACCGAATTTACCCGGGAAGGAATTGAAAGAGAGTTTCGCAACAGAACGTAACCCTAGATTTTTATGTATTTTAATAGGGTCCAATTTTATCCCTTCTTCCTGTTCATATTTTTGAATATAATCAAGTTTAGATTGTTCATCTGTACAATTTGATGGCCAACCACTTGATTCTTGTTTAATTTTTAAAAAGTTATTTATATAAGAAACAAACAAACCTTCTTCACGAGTAGTTGGATCATATTGTACAATATTGTATTGACAAATTTCATGAATTTTTACTATTTTATAACCAAGATTTACTGCCGCTTTTAATTCATCAGAAACCCAAGTTCCTTCAAGTACACGTAATCACTCATCTTCATGACTGCAATCACTCGATTCAAGAGTTTCACAACATGTACGACAAAGAGGGAACATTAGTTTTTCGTGTTGTCGAACTGGAAGAAGTGGATGGTACTAATCACGAGGAGGTAAAATTTGACAGAGTACTAAACCTTCTACATTAGTAATGTCATACTCAGCTCCAGTGAGTTGTTTACATTCTTCTTCACCAATGTATAACTTTGGATGTCCAACAGGAAATTTACCAGTTTTACAAATATACGGATATAAAGAACAAACGTCTTTATATTGAATTTTTTCGCCTTCTTTAATCTCATAAAAGGATATAATATTTCCTGTACGACCTCCGTAGAAAGCATCTCGAGGGTTTAGTACTTTATTATTTTTTAAAATTGGGTGATTTTTAAAAAAATCTTTTAACTCTGCGTTATTTGATTTTTCCCTATCAAACTGATACTCACAAATCTCAATGACCTCATACCCATTACGTTTAATTTTATCTCGAATTGCGAGAGTCCTATTATACCGGACATTCATAGAAGTTTCAGATTGACCTATTTTGACATCACGATTAGTTGAAAAACATTCTGGACACCCATGCCAAAAACATCCATGATATTGAAAAACATAACGAATTCCGTTATGCTCATAATAACCATCAACTATCGGTCCTTCAATTAGTCTGTATTCTCTACCTCTACCTGCGTGAGTAATAGAAACCCCTCGCTCACGTTCCATGAACAAAATCCATTCTAAAGATTTTCGAGAGTGATTATTTCTCAATCTATAACCTCCTCTTGGAATAATACCTATTGTGTTTTCTTGTAAACACATTATTCTGTAGTATCTATTACAAGCAGAGGCTATAGTTTTAGCCTCACTAAAAGGACATACATTTCCATACTCAATGAAAATTTTACGAAAAGCAACACATGTACATCGTAAAATATCCACATCGTTTTTACAGTATTAAATTAATTCATCCTGAAAATTAAAAACATATGCAGGGTTGGATTTTTTTCATTGTACCATTCAATGAATTCTTTTCGATTAGTTTCTGACATTGTATCAGGCGAATAAAATTTAATGTCTGGTAAAGGACCTGAATAGCTCTCATTTTCAGGTGTATTAAATAAATGAGAAAATGTACCCTTTTTTTCTCCTACTCCCACTATACCAAAAGACGCCGGTAAAGCTGATAAAGGTAAGTGGAAGTAATTGAGACTATCTATAAAAGTAGTGTGAGCTACAGTCATAGAAATGATTTTTGTCCCTGTTAAAATAAGCTCGGGTTTTTTTCTCCTACAAGCTTCAAGATTTACAAGGTTATTTAAAATTAATTGAGCATCATAACTACGTGCGTTGTGGGCGATGCAAATAATTTTTTTTGAGTTTTTGATACGACGTAATGTAACATTGACAAATTGGTGAATTAAATCACTATCTTTGAAAACAAATTCTCTAACCAACCCACATTGATTGCAAGGTTTTGTTATGTCTGGTTCATCAATGCACCCTGAACGAGTCGTCGAGATTAAAATTTTCTGCACTTTGTGCAATAGAAAAAAATAAACTCCAAAAGTCTTCAAATGCGACCTGTCGAACCAGTCTGTACGACAAAAAACTAGACCCTTGACCTAACGTGTTCGAGTGAAACTTCATCCCAATAAAATCATTCGGATTATATTGGACTAGAATCGTGTTAAAAATACTTTTTAAAGTATTTTCTAACCATGCTGCAGAAGCTACCGTTTCACTCGGTATATTACTTAATTTTATAATATATTCACTACCCTGTATTTTGAATTTACGCATATAACAACTCGTAATATTTTCAATTTCAAAATTTTTTACTGCAAAATTACGTAACTGATTATTAGTATAGCTCATGCCAGAGGGTCCCGCTTCATCAGCTTGTGGTACATATCCACCATCTCGATGCGTGATAGTGTCTACATTAAAAATATTTTAATGTAAATGTGCCAAAAAGTAAAAATCTTGTTCGATTACTTGGTCTAATGATAAAGGACATATATAGATCAAGGGTTCGAGCCTAACAATTTTTTATTTTTATTCTTAACTTCAAAAAAAAAATATGATATGGTTATTTCTGCGATACCAAATTCATTTCAAAAGAATAGAAACTACTATTCTATTGATGAAAAATATACAGAGTTGTTACTAGTCCGTGTTTCACTCAGAGTCATCACTTGTCTTTTATATTCAGATTTTTCATGTTTTCAATCAATATTATTTATTACTTACTATAAAGACTAGTGACTTCTATCAAGGAGAAGTGAGTTGTCACATAAAATTCATTAAGTTTTAGTCATATGCTCAATGTCATGCAGTGTATTTAAGATTCCGAAGAGCCAAAAGAACTGTATCGCGATAGGTGGTGAATAGCATTGACCCTTATGGGTGATTTCCCCAAAAAATTCAACTTTTCGATTTTTCCACTTTTTCACTTTAATAATGAATAGTTTCAAAGTATCGAGGCCAAAGATAAAAAGCAATACGCATGCAACCAATAAGCACCGAATAGTTTCAATGTATTGAGGCAGAAGATAAAAAGCAATACGTATAAAAGCAATGCGCACCGAATAGTTTTAAAGTTTTTTTTTCTAAAAAAAAGGAAAGAAAAATTTTTTCATTATTAAAGTGAAAAAGTGGAAAAATCGAATTGTTGAATTTTTTGGGGAAATCACCCATAAGGGTCAATGCTTTTCACCACCTATCACGATACAGTTTTTTTGGCTCTTCGGATCCTTAAATACACTGCATGACATTGAGCATATGACTAAGACTTAATGAATTATATGTGACAATTCACTTCTCCATGATAGAAGTCACTAGTCTTTATAGTAAATAATAAATAATATTGAATGAAAACATGAAAAATCTGAATATAAAAGACAACTGATGACTCTGAGTGAAACACGGACTAGTAACAACTCTGTATAAAAATTACAAGGGACAACTCTGAATATAAAAAACAAGTGATGACTCTGAGTGAATCACTGGCAAGTAACTACTTTGTAAAAAAAGTACAAATGCCAAGTCTGAATATAATAGACAAGTGTCGACTCTGAGTGAAACATGGGCAAGTAACAACTTGGTATAAAAGTCACAAACCTCAACTATGTATGTATATTGAAAAAAAGAGTTGTCGCATATTTTTAAAAGAAAAGAAAAAGATTTATGCATGGTATGAAATTTTAACTATTAATTTTTTTTAAAAAATGACTATATCTATTTTCTTATATAACTATTAATTATTTTAAAAAGACTTACCATTTTGACTGCAATCAGCATCTGAACTGTCCTGCAAATATGCAACAATCCGCAGGCAATCCTCCTCCATAATATTTTGACGTTCTAGCGACACTGTGTGATCTGGAGATGATAAATTCACTGCCCTATAGACACTTGCCGGAATTTGCTTTGGTAAATTATCACTCACTGCACTATTTTTGAACTGATTTTCATTTTTCACATCATTATAAATGTGTGTCGTCGCACTAAAACTCACTTCTGATGATGGTTCTTGTCGTTGTTCTTCGTCACATGTTAGAATCGGTTGA